CATCCACAGGTCCAGTCTCCTTTCAATGGGCCCACTTCCCAGGGCTCATTGATCTTGGATCTGGCTTCCATCCCCTCTCCAACCTTTGCAACTGCCCAGAGGTGTCACCTTCTGCCTTATCCATTCCCACCTCATTCACCCCACAGGTATAGTCTCTGCCTCACTTGTCCTAGGGACAAAAAGCTGCATCACCTCATTTGGCATAGTAGTGGCATATTTTATCTAACTTCTGAAGAAAAATGAGCATGTTGCATCATTTTGTACAAATACAAAGTAGTGATTTTGAACACAAATTTGAGCTTAGCTTGTGAAGTTTGTTTTCTTGCAAAAACCCTTCAATAGAATTATTTGCAATTCACTAAATGTTATCTGCTACGAAGTTAGAGTAGCCTTGTAAGTTAATGGTGTATGTAACTTAACATTTAACGTATAATATTAAATAAGACACTCAAAATACATTTATCATAGATCATTCAGTCACTTTCACTTTACTGTATTCAGAAAGGGAAACAGATGTAAAGATCCTTGGAAAAGTGGCTGTACCAAGTCAGTAATATCCATAGGTTCTAATTTTGGTGACATGCAACTACAGCTGACCTCTGGCTACCACTGCAATGACCACTTTAACCCTCCCAGTCTCATGTCCACTAGGCAGGGAATAAGCCATCTACGTTAGGACCCAGCTGGAGTATCATGTCCAGTTCTGGGTGCCACATTTCAGGAAATGTGGAGAAACTCCAGAGAAGATCAACACAAATGATGAACGGTCTAGAGAACATGAGATATGAGGCAAGGCTGAAGAAATTGGCCTTGTTTACCTTGGAAAAGAGAAGACCAAAAAGGGACATGAGAGCAGCTTTCAAGTATCTAAAAGAGTATCATAAGGAAGAGGAAGAAAAATTGTTCTGCTTGGCCTCTGAGGTTAAGATGAGAAGCAATGGGCTTAAATTGCAGAGATTTAAGACCAGGTGAGACAGACACACACAGGCCCCATTTAAGTCTGTTCTGCTGATATTAATAAAACGCAATAGTTACCCAATTTATACCCATGTCACAGCACTTTTCATGAGCAATGACAGTCCAAGACTTTAACTACTAAAACACATATCAACAGAAGATCATTACACTGACTACTTTTTGGTTTTGGCTCCCACTCGCCAACCACGTGTTGATCCCCACATAAACCCAAACTGCTCCGTGGGGCGCAAACAAACTGGCCGTGGGCAGCATACCAAGTTATTAATAAGTATTTTATAAACCTTTACCTTTTCTCTCTGCTGCCATGTCTCCTCTCTTATGTGGCTTGTTTGGATGTGCCACTATGGCACCCGAGTTATTAATAAATATTTTATAAACCTTTACCGTTTCTCTCTGCTGCCGTGTCTTCTCCCCTTGCTCCATCAGCTCCCCTGGGGCCTGCTGCCCCCCAACTCCTCACCCTCCTCTGCTGTCCTGACTCCTGCCCTTGTCACTGCCCTCAGCCCTTCTGCACCCTGCCCCCCTCCACCAGCCCTTCTCTCCTCCCTGTGCCCACTCCTCCACCAGCCCCACTCTGATCATGTGAGCTACCCCTCCTCATCCCCTCTTCCAACACCTCCCTCTACACACCTGCCCTGCCTCTCTCCTCTGGTGCTGGTCCCTTCCCTGCAGGTGTCTGCCCTTCTGCTTCACCCAAGAATCCTCTGGCATCTGCACCTTCCCTTAGCCCTGCAGCCTCCTGGTGCCTCCCCCTTCCCTTATTGCCCCCTTTTCCCTCTTTACCTGATGGCCACCCCCTCATCATCCTCTGACCCCATTCCCCTCATGCCCCTCTGTGCCCTCACACATGACTTGCTCCATCCCCACCTTTCTCATGCCCACTCCTTCTTTTAAGCCTTCTCCTAGCACCTTCCCCTATAGCCCCCAATGCCCTTCCCCTCTTCTCTCCTCTCCTCTTCTCTCCACACATCACCCTGTCCCTGTCCCCCCTCCCACTGATACCTCCCCTCCTGCCCTTTCCCTCATTGTCTGCAGTGCATATGGTCCCCTGCCATTTGTCTCTTGGTGCCTTCCCCTTTCTTCCCCTCCCCACAAGCCTCTTCCCCAGCCCCTCTGCTGGTGCACAAGCCCCTTCCCTACCTTCCGTGTTGCAGGGCTGGAGTCTGCACTCAGGCCCCGCAGTCAGAACCTGGAGCCAGCCACGCAGTCTGCCTCCAGGCACTTTGAAAATCCTGAGCGTGATGTCACGTCATGTCACGCCTAGGCTCTGCCCATAGCAGCAGGCAGTGAAGGGAAGCTGCCCAGAGCTGCGCACGGGACGGGACAGGGACAGAGGGAGGCACGGGGGGGCCAACAGGAGGGGCCAGGGCTGGCTCCGGGCAGAGCCGGAGGAGAGACCCAGCTCCACATAGTAGTGGAGCAGGGCTCCCGGCTCTGAATTGTAACGTCAACCCTGGCAGGCTGGCACTTCCGGGTGCAGGGGCACAGGGCCCCCTTAGGCGCGGGGCTCGATTCGACCGAATCAGTCGAATCGGTCTAAGGCCGGCTCTGCTCCCAGCCGCTCCCCCCGCCCAGCTTCTGCATGCAACCAGAGGCTCTCAGCTGGGAGGCAGGGCCACTATTGGCACTGGG